TATGTATGTATGTATGTATGTATGTATGTATGTATGTATGTATGTATGTATGTATGTATGTATGTATGTATGTATGTATGTATGTATGTATGTATGTATGTATGTATGTATGTATGTATGTATGTATGTATGTATGTATGTATGTATGTATGTATGTATGTATGTATGTATGTATGTATGTATGTATTGTATGTATGTATATGTATGTATGTATGTATGTATGTATGTATGTATGTATGTATGTATGTATGTATGTATGTATGTATGTATGTATGTATGTATGTATGTATGTATGTATGTATGTATGTATGTATGTATGTATGTATGTATGTATGTATGTATGTATGTATGTATGTATGTATGTATGTATGCATGCATGCATGCATGTATGCATGCATGCATGCATGTATGTATGTATGTATGTATGTATGTGTATGTATGTATGTATGTATGTATGTATGTATGTATGTATGTATGTATGTATGTATGTATGTATGTATGTATGTATGTATGTAGGTAGGTAGGTAGGTAGGTAGGTAGGTAGGTAGGTAGGTAGGGTGGGTAGGTAGGTAGTTAGGTAGGTAGGTAGGTAGGTAGGTAGGTAGGTAGGTAAGTAGGTAGGTAGGTAGGTAGGTAGGTAGGTAGGTAGGTAGGTAGGTAGGTAGGTATGTAAGCACAGGTTACTATATATGCATGCGTATATGTTCGTATGTATTATGTGTGTATATGCATTTGAGCGTGTGTATGTATTATGTAGGTCTGCATGTATATTTGTGCGTATTTATGTGTGTATTACGTTAACACCAAGCAACCTACTTTCTGTACACGTAGACTCTGTGTACCCATTTAAACATCCCTCATCACAATCGCCAGTTGGATCCTTACAGGAGTGGACACCCACCGAGTTCTTGGTACAAAACTCACTGCACTTGAAGCTGCAGTCGTCGCCGAAAGTGCCTGGAGCGCACGCTGTCAGGAAAGATTTTAAATCATCATTCTTCCCATTAAAAAAAACAAAAACTGCAGATGTATGTGTGGATTGTGTGATTATACATCGCTTTTAGTGTACAAGAAGAAAATTCATCATCATCCTACATGAGTTGTACGTCGAGGCGACTTGGCTCATAAACAGCTTCATGTAGCTTCATGCTAAAGTATTTCGACCATGTTATACATCAGTGGGGCCTATAGAGCACGTTGCTTGACCGTACATTTCTGGGAGAAAACGAGGCAGAGGGATACCTTTGTGAAAATCCGGGTTCCGGGAATTAAAGATGCATTGACATTGAGAGCTGGAGAAGTGACTAGAAAAAAAGATTACAGGTCAGATGCGATGAGAGCAACTTTCTGTTGAAGACCTACTGATTTATTGGTTATCAATGCACATAAAATCTCTAAAATAATTAAATTTTCTCCAAGAATAGAAAACACGAGTAACGCCATTTAAGAACGCCGCAGAACTGTAAAATACTCTTTGTGTTGATGCATTCATTTTTTTTTTTTTTAGATAATATTTTTTTTTAATGTTTTTTTTTTCTGAAAGTGATACAGTGTAGAGACTACATTTCGTCTTCTATCTAACACTGTCTTTAGCTTTGGGGTCATGTCTTATGATTTCGCCACTGATTCACTTTTTCACGTTGTTTAGGGTTATCGACAGAAAAAGAACATTACCCCACATTCCACCTCCCCTAGTAGATGTTTCTCTAATTCCAGGGTCAATACACAATACCCCATCTCTCGTGTTTGATAAAAGGCATCCAACACCAGGGAGAGCTGAATAAAAGGTAGTTTATAAAATGCTTACTGTCAAGGACAGAAATCCAATATCCATCTCCGTCAGTGATAAAATGGTCTCTAACACTAGGGACAGTATCACAGGATCTGTCTCCCGAAGTTGATAAAATCTCCCTAAACCAGGGATAGTACACTAAATTCTGTCTCCCGTAGTTTATAAAACAACATGCTCCCTACCAAAAAAAACAGTACTCCAACATCCATCTCCCGTAAGTGACAAAATGGTCCCTAACAAAAGGAAAGTAGCACGTAATCCATCTCCCGTTGTTGATAGAATCTCACTTAAACCAGGAACAGCACCCCAGAATCTAACCCCTCCCCCCTCCCCCGCATCCAATAAACTGCTGTGTGCAACAAGACACTGTTTCCCAAAAGCCACCTCCATAGCTGACAAAATGCTCCTTGACATCAAGGAGAGTGCCTCAGTACTCACCTACCCTAGCTGATAAAAGTGTGTACCTCTTGAACAACTATAAAATACAGCTTTACATCTGTAGCTTGAACATCTGTATCCATTCCATGAAGAATAATTAAGTTACAATCTCAACGTGCAAGTTGTGGCTGCACAAGACAAACGATCACTTACTTTTGTTGATGGTTGGTGAAACAATAACAGACGCGAAAGGGCATATGCCAGTACTAATGATGCAGGAGGTGTTGTCTTCGCAATTACATGTATTCTCACAGTCAAGTCCGTATTTTCCGGCCTCGCAGATAGATTCTGAAATGAAAACAGCAGGTCGCAATGTGACCCTCTTTTGCTTTTGTTTTTCTATTACGTTATCATAGTCAGTCGGCTCTGGGGCTAAGTCGATGCGAACGCTTCGTTATGCCTGGATGTCGCGTTCGATCCCAACTGCAAGGCCATGCGCCTTGCGTTGGTTTCGACAGTGGTATCAAGAAAGCCGACCGTCCAGTAAGCAATGGCAAACTACTGGACGTAAATTTGCCTAGAAAAACCACACAGGGGTTGGTTCTGCAACGTCCTGTAAAGGATACGCAACTAACCTTACCTTATCATAGTCAAGTCATAGCACACTGAGCATTTCAATGGGTCCATAGTCTTCCGATAGGGAGTCGACATACCGAAGCGGCTAGACGCTTGCAGCGAATCGGAAGGTCGTGGGCTCGCTCCCCAGCGGAGCCTGACGTTTTTCAAATATGACCTTGGCTCCCATGTCGACCCAACCTTGAGTGGGTACCGGGTGTAGTCCCGGAAAGTAAAGGCGACCGGCTGGATGCTTATCGAAAAATCCATCTTGTGCCGATTGGTCTAAAAATGTAGGTCTAGCCCACATATGCCCTAAAAGCCTGAAAGGCTTGAGAAGGGTCCTTGACTTTTTTTTTTTAAATAATTCTCTGATACTACAGTCATTCCAAAGAACCGGAAATGATTGTCTATATGAGAAGCTAGAAAAATTTTACCTTCTCATCTCTTATAAATATTCACAAAATAATGAAATCGTTCAGACATCTAGTAAGAATGCTTCGAGACCAAAATGCATACAGACATTTTACGGCAGAACATCTTGGAGAAAGTCGAGAGGAAGACCAAGAAAGTGATGGGCACATGTTGTAGCAGAAACTTACAAAACAGACGAACAAATCTATCACCCAAGTCACTTGAGAATAAAGTTTTACTACTTACTCTTCGTCTAAAAAATGTCACACACACACACACACACACACACACACACACACACACACACACACACACACACACACACACACACACACACACACACACACACACACACACACACACACACACACACACACACACACACACACACACACACACACACACACTCACAATTAAAATAGCTGAGGTAGGAATATTGTAATAAAAAAAAATTTTTAATGTAAACTGTAAAATTGTGTTTTAAGCTCACTCACACAGTTTCTGTCATCACCCCTCGGTCCCTCCCCTTTTTCAAATCCACTGACTATTCCTCTATCCCTGTCTGAAGAATTTGAAATGCATCACACAGTTGTTTTAAGTGATCTTAGCAAACGTGTGCGCCAAGACTAAATTGAGTGTCAGGAATTGTAGTTAGAAGTAAATGCGGCCAATGTAATAGTTACTACATCAGCCATTGAGTATCAGAACTATTACCACCACCACCATCTCCACAACAACTAAAGAAAAAAAAAAACACTGTCACTATTGCCTATTTTGCCATTTGTCTAGGTCAGTGCAGACAGGGATTCGTGAGCCAGAGATGCCGCATGGTATGTGCTGTCGCCACAGTCTGTTCAGTTTAGGATGTTCAATTGTGCCCCTGACAGAGAAACTCTATCGCCTCACTGGGAGTCGAACCCGGGTCTTCTGCATGACAGCCTGACATTGTAACCACATAGCCAACCACAATAACTACTACTTTTTTTTTTTTGTTACTACTACCTCCACTGCTACCATGAGCGGATTAATCCTGTGGGCAAAGCAGTAACTGTGGCTTCCTTGAGCTGGGCAGTAGTGATGTCACTGATGTCGGTCAGTTGCACGATAATCTCCCCAAACAAACTAGGTTAGGTTCCATTATTACATTTTTTAGACTGTTTTGCTGTCCGAGGGGTTATGGATTGCCGCTATGTTGTTTCCTTTCTGGCTTGTCTGGCATTTACGTAGGAAGAGGAGGAGAAGCTAGTGAGAATTTTACAGCTAAAAAAAAACAACATGTGCTGTGTATGTGTTACCTCCGAAGATTTCAACTTCACACAAGGCCAGCTGTCTGGGGAAAATGTTGCTGTGGATGTTGACTCTGGAAACAGTTTGAGGCGAGTGGATGAGTGTGAGGACTTCCTGAAAACTATCGGTTGGAGTGTAACTATAATCGTAGACAACGTTACCGGCCTCATCAACACTCTCCAGAGAAATATTGGAGAGACGAAATTCTGGATCCTTTGCTGAAATATTGAATGCACGTGGATATATAGTGGATTGAATCTAGTTAAATACATTAGTATGAAATTCAGTTTCATAGGGGTTAATTGCAATATGGAAGGAAGTAATGATTACGACTCAGCATCAAAGAACATTAAAGAGAAACTGGATAGGATTCAGCGTCAAGCTCTTACCACTATCATAGAAGTTGGGAGAGGAACGTCTAGAGAGGCGATGGAGATTGCTCTAGGCATCACTCAATCTCAGACAGAAGCAACTAATATACACCTGGATAAAAATGGCTAAAGATTCAAGTCACCCAACGTCAGATGCTTTCCATCATAAAATTACCCAACATGGTGAAAAACCGGAGAGGAATATACTTAGATCAGTAGGTTGGGACGCAGAAGAAGACATGAACGACACTGAGGACTTAGCTAGGATGCTGGCAGCGTGCCTTAAGTTCATATCCAAAACCCACATAGAAACTAGAGTTGCCCCTCACGGACGCCAGCTAGTGCGAACAAATCGCAAAGGTACTAACATTTATTAGTCCTAATCCATCGCAAAGACTAAATAAACAATAACAAAACGGATAACCTGAGAGCAAATACTGTTGGATCTAAGAATAAGATAGGAGAAGTAGGAGCAGGAGTTATTATTCATCAATGGGGAATTCAACAACAATATAAAATGATTGCACAGCAGAACTGGTCGACATCATGACGCGCTAGAGACTGTACTAAATAAGCTCCTAAACAACAAGCTATATTAACAGACTCACTGTCAGCAGTACAGTTTCTAAGAACTTATTATAAAGGCAGCAGAGCAGATATACAAGAAAATAATTTAGACCTTTCTACTCAACTAAAAAAAAAAAAAAATAAAGGATATCAAGTCACCGTTACATGTGTACCAGCACACAGAGGTGTAACTGAAAATGAAAAAGCAGAGCAAGCAGTTAGATTGGAACTAAATGTTCCACAATGGTATTTGCAGGCCTAATTAAAGCTGAATGGATCAGCGTTGTCAAAAGTCATAGTATTGACATGTTGAATCTGCAATGAGAGAACAGAAATGTAGGCAACGAAGCATATCATAACCTAAAAAAAAAGCCAAGTTTAATACCTAGGTCTTTAAAGACTAAAGATTCCAGCAAATAAACTATTGTGGATTCTGAGACTTGGATGGTACCCAGAATAATTCTTATCTCCCTTATTCTAGACTGCTTTGAAGATAACACAGTAGAATAGTATTTGATACATTGCACTAAATATAAACAAGAAATGAAACCTATTGAGGACTACTTCCAAAAACGAAATCAACAAATCATTACCAGTAAATGTTTACATGTGGAGATTAAAAACGAAATCCAAAAACTTGTAAAACAATTTAAAATCAAAACATATAAAGTGTTTTAACAGGAAACATCTAACAAAACAAATATCTACAAACGCAAGTATCCGTGCGAAAAAGGGAGGTGTTTGGAGGCAGATCGAAGTGTATGTGTAGGTGGACGAAAGTTATACATGAGTTCCAGGGTGTATATAAAAGTGATTACTTAGTGATAGGGATATATATGTATATATGAATAAGTGAGTGTGCTGGAATGTGTGGACACGAACTACGAGAAATGGGTTGTGCCGAAGATTGTAACTCATGATCACTCATCACACATGCCATTTGTCATATTAGGCTTTACTAGCATAACGAGCAAAGACCACAGACATAAAGGCTAATTTCAGACCTCATACTATCACAGACAAGACCAGAAACTAACAGAGTCGACCTTTAATACACTGAGAGGTCACAACAGATAGCTGACACACAATAACTGCGAAATCCTTTTATATTTAGGATATATGGTTGAAGGTCGGCTCTGCGGCTAAGTCGATGCGAACACTTCGTAATCCCGGGATGCCGGTTCGATCCCAACCGAGGGCCATGGGTCTTGCGTTGGTTTCGACAGTGATATCAAGAAATCCTACCGGCCAGTAAAGCAATGACAAACTACTGGAGGTCAATATGCCTTTTAAAAAAACACAAGAGCCAGAGGCTGGTTGGGTTGGTTCTGCAACGTTCTGTAAAGGATATGCAACTAACCTTTATGGTTGAAGATGTGTGTATGTGGATGGGGGCAAGGAAATCGATACAGATACATGTAGTTTTGTAGACATAAGTGAGTATAGGGGGACGAGTGTAAGTATTTACAAAAGTAAGTGCGAGCGAGTATACTGCACGAGTACATAAAATGACATTAAGTGATGCTGGCTCACAAGTTTAAAAGCGTTCGTATGTGTGAAAGAAAGAGTAATGTCGGAGTGGGTATCATTATGGATTCTCGGGTGTGTGAAAGCATACGCCTGGTTGTGTGCAGACATACACACCTCGGATCTAAACTCATGGATTCATCTTTATCCATAATCATGACATGTGAGACACAATATGGTTGATGCTGACAAGACTAGACCTCCTGTCCATTTCCCTACAATTGTGTGGTGGTGGCGGTTTGTGACATGGGACAGAGACTCCCTACCTCTGCTCTGACCTGTCATGTTGGATTCCACTATAAAGAACGCCCCCACAGACGTGAAAGCAGTCGAGTAATATGGAATGACCCACCCCCCAACCTCTTTCCCGCCCCAATTACTTTCTCCTCCCTTTCCCCATAACAATTCTCTCGCTGCACTAAGAGTTCAACCCATAACACTACCCAACCCACCCACCCCTTCCAGCAAATAGTCTTTTCAAAGAGTACAGAACTTTAGGGGACGTCAGGTAAAATCGCATGCAGTTTCTCTGCTCCAAAAGCATAAAAACTTTCACTGTCGAACACTCTAGTTTCGTTGTACGAGTGTTCCAGCCGCATTGATCCTCATCAGTTTACATCAAAGAGCACTTGAGTTCGGTTACCTTAGAGTATGTTACTGATGTAAACTAGAGCCCATCCACCAACCCAAAACCCTATAACTGGACTTCAGTATAACATACGACGGCTAGAATCGTTGAGAGAATAATTTCATACACAACAACATGGTATGCCTAACCCGCTCTTTTATTTTTTTTTTTTTATATTTTATTTTAAGAAGACCGCTATGGTCAAATATGCAATTGTTTAACATTTTCGGCTCTATGCAAAATCAAAAACTGTGTTTCTTTTTGGTAAGTAATACATCCAAAATTGTGAAACTTTAAATGGTCGTCCAAAGAACGTTTTGTAGATGTGTAAAGCTCGCTCTCCTACAAGAAACGCCTGGCCAAATTAGGAGGAACATGACCCAAAAGGGGAAATTCAGGATTATACGGATCGGAGAAACACAATCGGACATCGGAAAGGATTGTGTGGTCAGACTGAGAAGACGAAGGATTTAGCCAGAGAGCTGGCGAAAATATCCGAACGTTAGTTACGAATATGGCGCAAATGAACCAGACCACGAATGTAATCAGAGACTGGTGTCGGGTTCGGCCAGATAGCAGCAGATTGAAAGTGGTCGAGTTTTAAAGTTTTTTTGTAAATTGACTTGGACTTGGACGTTCATTTTAATTGTATCTGCCAGTGAAATTTGTAAAACCACAACATACAGTTAAATTAATTCAAAGACAAATGTATGGAAACAGACACAATTAAATAGGATTAATTTAAGGGAGATATAGTCCTGTGTAGGTCCTGAGGTACATAGGTTGTTGGGGTGGGAGGAGGGGGGGGGGGGAGAAAAAAACTAATTCCCTTTAAAAAAACATACGATTGAAGGCTACTAGGTTGGGTGGATCTTTAGTCGAAGTTTGAGAGCATATGTCAGAGAGGCAAGGAAATAACCACCTGCAAATAATTTAGCCAGGTAAGTAAAACACATGTGCACGCAAAACTCGAGGTCTGGAATTAGACGAAAACACATAAGTGCACGAGCAATCAAAACTATCAACTGGAGTTTGGATTGGATTTTTTACCCCACCAGGACATCACACAAGCGATAAACACCCGATGACACAAAGTGCCACCATGCGGATGAGGATCACCGTGGAGAGGTCCCAGAAACCGCGTTCAGACATTTGGCCATAATGATGACCTGCCTATATTGCGGCCCCTGGCAAAAGCCAGAGTGGGGCTTCAAATAACAAAAAATAACGTCCTAAGAAGGACGAAAAGCAGTAATTAACTGGAGTTTTAGCTGGTGGACGCTAGGAAAAAGAAGATCACCACTCGCACACAGCACTTAGACGTTAGAATGCTGACCTCTTCATATCGCTTTATAAATTATCAGCCTCGTCATAAATGACTACTAAAAGGTATGGGCGCATTGGCAGACTTTAGAAAATAAAAAGTGTGTAGGTCTTAGCTAATTAAGAGCCACTTGACAAGACCGTAGTCATCAAAGTCATGGGTTGAAGTCTCAGGGCGTGGATGGTTAACTCTCACGCTATGTTGAGCACACTTAATATTGACCATCTACACTAGGTTGCAATTTTTGTTCTCAATAATTACTAAGAAACGGTATATACCCGAACGAAAAGTATATTAGCGAGCTTCACAATAAAACAAATACAAACAAAACGTGAACGTTGTGGCTATTTAGCCTTCATCAGTACACACAAAATAAACAGTACTACATAGATACAAAAAATCACTTAGCTGGTATCACGATGCGGCCATGTCGGTTGTTAAACAAACGTGTCAGCTAGGGGAATAAGTACCCCCCTGTGGAGTATCAGGGGCCATAACTAGGGTGTAGGGGTTGAAACTGTGAGGGCAGTTCAATCCCCTGGAAGTAATCTCACCCTCAAAAATTACTAGTGCCTGTGTTGGCACCGGGGCTCCAACGTGAGTCAAAGGGAGGGGAGATAATTGACCTACTGCCCCCGTAAAGATCATGTCGACTAATTATAATCCTTTCTTTGAAGTCTAAGTGCATCTGTCTAAAAAAATGAAGAAACCATCAATCTACATACAAAAAAGACAGATGTGTATGAGGGATGCACAAACAAAACACAGTTTCCGGAACAAGACTGCAATCCAGAAATAGACGAACAACGAGAATTTTACAGCCAGTTAACACAAAGACGATGAAGAAAGGTGTATTATGCATTGATCATTGGCAAAGAGAAACTGTTTTCACGCAACCCAGACTTTTCAGAATAATGAGGGCATGGTCTTCGCTTCCCGTTTTGAAAGTCGTATCATTCATAAATGCTCGCAGATATCCCCAATTAAAGACCCTGACCGACACCGGCAGCTAGATCTAACATGACTTGCATGGCCATAACAAACCGTAACGGAAAGATCGTACATCACATTGATATCTCAAACTGGGGCTCAGTTCACCTCGTAGTAAACGTGGTGGCAGAGAAGAATATTGGTCACTCATTTCGATTATCTGTGTCATGACGTGGAACATGCAAATGGCAGGCTACACTACCTTATGAGGTACATCCCCATAGGCGTTGGTGAGGTCCAGTTATACAGCATGCAATTCGGTTCTCTCTGCCTTACTTCTTTGGATACTTTCCCAGAAATGGTCGCATGCTCAAGACACCCGTAGACGCCCGGGATGCCACCTTTTTGCACCGTTGTGTCAATTTTTTTTTTGTTCTGCATCAAATACTGTGTGAGTCTGAGGGCCATAACCGAGAAGAATATCTTGCACTCAACCAACAGGAGTGAGGGTACCAGTTATACAGCATCGCAATTCCGTTGGCTCTCTGCCACTCGGCTCCAAGCTAGCTTTAGCGAGCGTTAAAGTATTCAGAGGAGTTTTGGACAATGCCTATACACCAAGTAACGAACACTGTCGGGTCCTGTAGCAGATTATTCGCTGGCCCTGTTCACAACTTCTTAGATCTCAGACCAAGAGGAAAGCATCCTTTTGAACGCTGCCTGCAGCAACACAAGCCGCCTTTGGGGCAAGGTCACAGTCACGTTAATGCCTTGTGCCGACGCGGATATATAATGTAAACAGGCTAAGCTAGGTTCAATGAACGGAGAATTTAAAGTCGCTTCACGTGATGCTCCGAGTTCGCAGATCAGTGGACTGTCCGCCGCCCTATGGACACGTAGGAAACTAGTTGAAGATGCGGAACCTCAAAAAAAGGAAGCTGGGTTACACACACAGTCTAGGGCAGCAAGTAATGGTCCAATGGATCGGCCCTCGAGAGCATGTTTAGGGACTATAAGCGTTTTCGGGTCGGCAAAAATATAAGATCGCTGCAAGTTAGGATGTCGAGAGCATCTTGCCTTGCTTTTACTGGCGCCTACATGGGCCTACATGGCCCAGCGTGAGACCACCGACCCAAGAATATTCACTATGCAGAACAACGCAGACGCTCAAGCACGTATTGTTCACCCTAGGCCAAGGATGATATACATGGCACAACCATAAATCCTGAAATAGTGTGTGGACACTGTAGATCAAACCAGGATAAGGGACATAGCAAGGGCTGTCCAAACGTTTCCTTTATCCCCTATGCGCTTTCTCAAGGCTGAGCAGATTTCTAAAGGTAATTTCAACAAAGTCGCATACATCTGTCTGATTTAGAGAAATACCACGAATCAGTCCGAAGACTGACTTGAGACCAGATGTGGTTCTGCACTCTGCATCAAAGCGCCAGCTCATCCTGAAAGAGCTCAGTGTGCCACACGAGTGGCCGATGGAAGAAAATCACATGTGAATTGGTCGCCAGGGGTAGGTGCGATGAGGTATACACGGTAACACTCTTAGCCGTCGATTTAGGCGCAAGGGTGCTAATCTCCACCTCCATATACCATCTACTAAAGCACATTGGCTTGTAACGCAAAGAGTGCAATCTGGCACTAAAAGAATTTGGTGACTCGGCTGTAAGGGTTTCAAGCTGGCTGTGGACACATCGGAACATCGTAGGGGATGAGCCTCGGTAGATTGCTCCAATAACCTAGTGGAAATGAACGTTACACCCCTAAAAGGAAAAGTCTCTAGTACATCTCTGCCAATTGTCAATGGCTAACGTCTGTCCAATGAACCAACCGCTCACTTGTCACCCTGGTCGTGAAGGTAGTCGGCTAATTTGCTACCGCAATGACAATATATAACATCAAATCTCAGAATACTGAAGTCACCACTTTGTCTTGTCTGAACGTCCGTTAAGCGTATCATTAGATGTCTAAGGCCTGGAGTCGTGAACCAATTGTCGACGTGGTACCTTTTTACTGATGATCAGTAAATCTCCTGCTGTGCATGCTCCCGCTGTGGCATTATACTTAAATTAAATTGCATCCTCATGGGAGATTTGACACCTGGGGCGAACTTTCATCTGCAAAAGTTAAGTGATTTGCACATGGTCTGTCAGATAATATCGCTGATTTTTATTGTATTGTTGCCCGTGAAGCACACTAGTTTTTTGTTCACAAAATAAACAGAGGTTTGATGTGAAGATATTCCCTTTGTTTAGTTTAGAAAAGGACTTGTAGATCGTACATGCGGTGTGTCCAAGCGCTGCTTATGTAGTTGTATGTTGTTGCTAATGTTGCGTAATTCACTAGTCACATATTCATCGCCTGACTCAAGGGTAATATTGAATGCTTCAGAAGAGCCCTAATCTTTTCTGTAGTTTCCCTGTTTTGGCAGACTAGCGGGAACTACTTATTGTTCTAACCACAATTATTTTCACATGTCCTGACCACTTCATTACTTTTTCCCTTACCGCTAGCCCAGTTTTAATGACACAGAAGATGAGAATAAAAAGGGAAGAAGAAGTAGAAGAAATTGATGAAGACGAAATAACCCCATATCCTGGTGTGCATCTGTGAACAATACAGCCGGAAATTTGCAGTTCATTAATCGTGCCACATATGTAAAAAAAAAACTCCATAAAAAATGGCTAGTAAAGAAAAAAGTGAAGATCCCTTTTCACGCCCGTAGGCGCATCGGGTGTATGAAAAGAGCATCCCATATTTTTACAGACCAATCGGCACTAGGTGGGTAATGTGGTCAGCATTATGTGGCCGGCCGTCTTTACTTTTCAAGGACAGTCATCCTGGTACACATTTTGGCTGGGTCGAACTGCGACGTCCCATACCATGATAAAAATCCACGCAACCTGCAGTGGGTTTTGATTGCGGTACGACGGATTTACAAGTCGGACTTGCAAAGCCTAAGCCACGGACGCTGCAAAGTGGCCTAGACTCTCCGAATACTAGCGGCCTCATTTTTAGGTATTTGGTAATATAATTCACATTTAGGTATAGTATTATAGTACATACCATGTTGCACCCTATATATATATATATATATATATATATATATATATATATATCTGTGTGTGTGTGTGTGTTCTAAATATATATATATATATATATATATATATACACACACACACAATAAATTGCACAATTTATATCCAAGAATATTTCGCTGAATCTCGTCAGGTGCATACTACAGTAAGAATTTATTAAAATGACGTCAATAGATGAATGCTTCCAACTAAAAAAAAAAAAAGTCGACTACATTCGAAGACTGTTTCATCAGGGTATTTGCAAAATCAAACTCATGATCTTTTGTCTGCCTAATGCTGGGCTGAACCGGTTTATCGCGGCTACATCTAGAAATCTCAATAATCTACTGCCGAATTGCACCTTGCTTGTATACAATGTGCTCAGAGTCTGAAATATGAAACGCAATGCATGATGGGGAACTTTTGTCGACCAGTCACCTGCTTCTTTGTTATTGTTTGTTTTCTATTTGTTTAGATTCACAACGGAAAGATACTGCTTTGAAAATATATATATATAACTTTAACCAACCTCTTTTCCATCAGTGCTATCTTTGTGCAGCAGTCATTGATAATGAAAATGTTTACCCGTTTCCACAAAACTTACAATCTGTTCTGCCGTATATAAGATATTTGTGGACGCTTCGCGGACTTGAGAAGGTCAGTTCCCAATACTGCCTCCTTGTGGGACTCTCCTGGGTCATGGCGCAGCTAAAGCCGTCATAGAGACGCTGGTTTGTCTTGCCGTCGACTGCCTTGCTGGATGTAAAGGAGATGTTGAGCTGAAAGGTTGAAGGTGACTGTTCGCTGTACGTCGAGGACTGTTCTGTCTTAGCTTTCAGGGCAAGATTCCGACCTACTCATGTTACAAACAACAAGGAAAAAGTAAGCAAAGAAATATTTCCTATTGACCTATCAGACTTCCGGTGCTAGATCTAAATTGTATTGGGCCAACCAGCACCAGGGGCGAGTGAGCCTTGGCGCCTAGGCACCTTAAGAGCCCCCCCCCCCACCCCCCGCCCCAGCCTTTACCCCCTTCCCCCAAATACCCTAACCACATTTTAGGACAGGGTGAAACTAATTTATAGAGTAGAGGATTAGGGTGGCAAATGCCGCCACCCCCTCCCTAACCATGTGTCATCAATCTATGAAGTGCCGTCTTCATGGTGACGGTTGGCTGCCATGGATCCCCAACACGTTGTCTTTTGTCCTAGTTGTATACTTTTTCAGACTGCTACCCGTCTCTTGATGTTGTCCTTCCACATGTATCGTTGCTACATCTTGCTCTCTTACCTTCGACCTTTCCCTCTAGTATGGTTTTTAAAAGTTTGATATGTCCTATAATTTGGCTAAAGTATTTCAATTGTCTCTTTGTTGTTGTTGTTTTTTTTTTTTTTTTTTTTTTTTAATTTCCTTCAGTTATTATCTTTATCTTTTCCAGAACGTCTGCTTTGGAGTGTTTTTTTTTTTTTTTTTAAATTTTATTATTTTTATTAAATACGACCCATTTTTCTGTATACCAATATCCTCAGAAACTCAATTATATTATCTAGTTGCTTGTTCATTGTCCATGTGTTGGTATCTGTTGTTGTTGATTTTTTTTTTTTTTTTTTTTTTTTTTTGAGGAAAAAGAGAGTTGAAGGTGAAAAATGGTTTTAGCTCCCCAGTTCGATCCAGCCTAGGAATACAAAGTAAAGTCATAAGAGGCAAAGGATGTCAATGTTTTTTTGACCACATCCCCGACCGAGTGCCGATGGGTCTATATAATATAGCTCTAGCACTGTGTACCAAATAAACATTCGGATATTGAGAATAGTCTTTTATGCTTGCGTAATTGTGTTTCCAATTACCTGTTAGTAGTTGAAGTGGTCTCGATTGGTGCAAATAATTGTCAAAACTTTGCTAACTAACAACTTGTTGTAGTAATGGAAGAACAAGGTAAGCAAGAAAGAGTGCAGTCAATACCAAGGCATCTGTAAAGTCATGATGGGCGAATGCAAGTGAGATGAGTGATAGAGCGACAGTTGCAATGATAACAGAAAGACATTAGAAGACATAGACGATGCACAGTTGCGGTCTTCCAGCTCAACATTTTCTGACTGGGAATTGAGCGAATATGTCACTGGAATGTGAGAAACTACATACCCAAGGTCAAAGAGAAATAGTCGTCACAAAACCAACCTACATTAAAAAAAAAAAAAAAAAAAAACAGCAAATAAAATGGATTGCCAACCAAGCCATTCCACACAAGACATAAGCCAAAACAGAAGATGGACAAAGCGCAGGACACTTAACATACCTAGTAAACCTAATTTTTCAATTGATTTGCATCTTGGTATTCACCTTCACCTCATCTTTTACCAGTTTCCGTGTCGAGTTAAACCAAGAACATGAAAGAACGATAGCAAGAGAGGAAACTCTACAATAGCATTTACCTATGATTGAAGGGACCAGAAGACGAGAATGAGAGCCTTATGTTTCCCCCGACATCCGTACCGCGCAAGCGAAATAAGAAACAAAAAGAAGAAGAAGCTAACAAACTCCAACATTTATTTGATTTGTGCGGTTTTACTAGCAAGTGTTTGTACAGTATTTTGTCGATAGTGGGCATCATATATTGAATTATAAATGCAGTTTATAATACTTCAATACCCGGTTCGGTTCAGCTGCTATTTATCATCAGACCGTATCGAATGCATTTTGGCGAAGGTAGGAAGGTTGCACGTCGAGAAAACAATGGCAAGCTATTGAATGTACAATCGCCAGTACAACCACAAACAGACAGCACATGATAGAGTTTGATTGCAACGTCAGGTAGATAATATTGAACTAATTCGTACATTCTTTATCTTTTGATTGTGATCTGATGTAAGGCTCTAGCCTGGACCATAAATGTTTGTCTTTTGCTAAACCAAGAGTCCAACGCTGGCCACCAGGAGCAACATGTGTCTCGCCGGTCGCCCTCAGCTTATCTTGTAATTTAGTTCCCTGGTCACATCCACAACCTTTGCTGGAGGTAGCCAATGCAATCCTGCAGTTAATGCTCAAGAGTATATATGTGTATATGCCTCTTTTTTATAGGTGTGCTCTAATGCAGGAGTTCCCACCCCTCCCCCCCCCCCTTTTTTTTTTCTTCCATGTAAAGTCTTTATTCTACCATCTCCACATCCTCTTGAAAGACTACTTTAACACTGTTTTGACTTCTCATCAGTTATGCATTGGTTGTAGATACAGACAATTTAGCCAGCTCATCTGCTTTCTCATTTTCTGAAATACAACAGATCGGCTAGCTTGGATAGCAAGCCAATGTAAGTCCTGAGATCTGCAGTTAGTTTCTGCTCCACTGGGCTTGCAGAACAAATGGATGTCTAATAGCCAATTATTGTTCCAGTTGATTAGCATCTTCATATCCTTCTACACTTTCTCTTGCACCTTTTAAGATGTTCAGGTAGACTAAGAAACCAGAGGTAGATTTAGTCAGCGAGTATAAGCTGTGTGCCATTTGTATTCCTGAGTAAAGATATACTTGTCTGTAGAAAGGATGTCTCAGCTCTGTAGTTTGTGCACAATTTTTGATTGCATCAGCAGCTAATGGTCCAGGGTGTACTAGTATACTTCTCTACAAGCATAGCGAGAGGCAAGGATCTCTGGTGTACATCTGTATGTGCCTCTTCTGCAGAGATCCTTGGCACTTCTTTGACTACATTTGCCTTGTCTAGATTGTATGTGCATGGCTCTGGCCAAAGCTTTTCCCACAGTGTACATCTCTTTCCAGCCCATCTTGATGATGTTTATATAGTTTTCTAACAATATGACTGGGGCCCTGACAATGACGATATTTTTTCCTTGTGAAATTGGGAATGCAGTGGTGACTGTTGTCGTTTTAATTGCTAGTACTGTATAACATATTTGCCATGTCTTCTTAGTTAAAGCTATTTTCTCTATCTCTCCAAAGGCTATAGTTTTCATAGATCCAGAACATCCTCACTCCCATATTCTGAACAGTGTTAGGTTTTCTCATGGCTGTCTTTTCAGATGAAGTGAATGACAATTTCATGATTGGCCCGACTGTTCAATATATACGTCAGATTGTAGCTCTGTCGTTCTGCCAGGTAATTTGGAATATGTAGGCGTTCTTTACCCGGCCAGATAATTTGGAATATGTAGGCATTATTTACCCAGCCAGGTAAATTGGAATATGTAGGCGTTCTTTACCCAGAAGTCTCTCTCACACACACACACACACACACACACACACACACACACACACACACACACACACATTACCAGTATACAAAGGTTAATACAAGTTAACGTCTGCAGCCTACCTCCACTGACGTAGACTGAGCACAAATAACGGACCCCATCACCAGACAGGACGATCTCATCTATGGGGTCAGCAATCTCGCAGTGGATGTCCATTGTTATGCTGTCTACAGTTGTATACGTTCGGTTTCTACACTCAGTGGCGTTAGAATTGCTTGTAAATTTCGCCTTAATCTGACTCCTGAATTCTGGTAAGTTTCAACACAGAGCTGAGATACACAGTTGTCGAGTTCAAAATGAATAACTGGCTAAGTGGGTAAACAGCTTCATCAATTGTTCAGAATAGTTCAAAGCAATTAGCATCTGAGGTGAGATTTAGTCAACACTAAATTTGTTGATTTTTACCTTTTACTTTACATCAAAACCCCTATCACCCCCCCCCCCCTCTTTAAACCACCTTGCCATATTCTAGCGACTTCTCAAAGTCTGTTTCATGTACGGTTAGTCAATATGGCTCTATACAGGCCTTAGTATCAAATAATGCCAATGTTAGGCTGAGAAAAAACCGACATCACGGCACTCGGGACATTCACATAAGCGATCAGCCCATATCTGTCTATATCTTCTTGGCAACAGCAGCCATCTTTTTGTATTGCCTTCTTTGCCTTTTTTTTTTTTTTCCTTTTGTGTTGGGCGTCTGCAAAGTACTTTCGCTGGTTTCTGATACACGTTTGGTTTTACGACACAATTAGAAAAAAGATCCAACAACCTCGTTCTCAGCTTTCCTTATCATCTTTTTTTTTAAAGGAGTTTCTTTTGTCCAGGCATACACTATATTGTCTTATATCCTGTGGTGTTAACCAAACACAGGTCTGCTTTATTCACCAATGTGCTCAGAGATTCTGGTATTCCTTATGCATTCTTTTACTGATCGGTCTTTTTTTTTTCACTTCCAATTTTACGTCATAGTAAGATGTGATAAACGGTCTTTCACAACTGTTCAACTGGCGAAACAATGTTACTAACAATTTTAAAATGAAATCTACTGCTACCAGTACGTCGATTTATTCCTGTAATATTCTAGTTTCTCGACACATATTCTCAGAAATCTGATCTAAAGCACTTTCACTCCTATCAACGATGGCTATTTAAAAAAACATTTCTGATTGGCTGATACAAATAAACCGTTTGTCAAAACTACACTGTTCATTGCTTGCGTCATTCAGTAGCGTTTAGCTCACTAAACTTCAGCCTACATTTCAATTGGATCAATGGTTCACTTATCGCGAACTAATACAAATGGATACTGTGAAATGCGTTGTGAGATGCAAACAGAAGGTCAAACTGCCACCGAGATTCATCGTCGATCATGTCGTGTGTGAAGTGATAACGTGATAATGTTTGGTGAGGGACTGGTTCAGGAGATGCGGAGACAGGCCGAATCATATGCACTATGAGGGTAGACAAGAACGACGCTCAAGAGCGACAGATGCGCTCATTCAAAACGTAGCCCATGCCGAGGTAGAAAAGTGCCGTCTCACTATTTGAGATATTTCTGCAGAATTTTCACAAATCGCCGGGACTAATGTGTCTCAAAACTCCTGGCTGCTCCATGAATGTTTGCCCACCCACGGATTAAGAATCTCACTCTGGATGGCAGGCCAGCCTGACAAATTTCAAGGCCACATTCAATCTCCAAAACAGGTATAATTATGGCACCCCCCCCCCCCCCCTCTCCCCCTAACGCCTACAGTAGCCAGGTGTGACTAACAGTCCTACAAGTATGCTGATACAGAAGTTTCAAAATCTTCAACAGTTACCACTGTTGCGTATAATTACCGTGCATACAATTAACACAACTTTACATAACTTTACATAACAGAAATGACATACTAGGCTTGGAGACGACCACTCTCATCCATGTGAAGATAAATGATACATTGAGATTTAAGGTGGTGGATTTCTCTACTGAAGCGGGGACACACGTTTTATCGTTGCCATCTGTCAGCTCAACCACGTCACCAAACTGGTAGGCTATATCGTCTGTGATGAAAATCAGATGGGTTTATCTACTGATCGACCTCATATAGGTTTTAGAATAATCAACCTCACACTAAAAATGACACCTATATTCTACCACGACGGCATGAATTCACAACGGTTGCTGAATAGATAGCGGCGAAGGAGGAAAGAGGAGAGTGTCTATGTACCTGGCGATTTATTATCGCTTTTCTAGGACAGTAGCCACAGTGATGGTTACAATTGTAACCCTAACCCCCCCCCCCCCCTTTCTTTCCCACTGCGCTGCGGGAGTTACTAGTAGATCTGTCCGACGCTGAACACTCAAGAGAAAGAGGAGACGGATATACAATGCGACAGTTACTGGTAGCACTGGAATTTGAACTCCAGGCTTCCTGCTGAGGATGGTAACGGGACGCTTATGGGAGTGCTCCTAGTGCCATGGTGTTGATTTTTAATTCCACATTTACATGACAAACTATAGACCAAATGCCACTTTAAATGGCACCTCAATATTAGACTAATTAATGGTGTCTTTTATGAAATCTGTCTGCATATTTTGAGAGGCAAGGCATCCCCAGTCTGCATACAAAATGCGCCAGATCTGAAAAGCAAATCTCAAGCTCTGAAACAAGACCACAGTACAGACATAGACGAGGTTACATAAGCATCCACCAGAACTGACAGCTAGCGAACGCTACAAAGAAAAGGAGCACCTAAAAAGAAATGATATAAACCAAAAACAGAAGAAATTAGCATAAGACTAGGACCTAACTTGTCATTAAATGTGTACAAC